CTCTAAATTAAAATTCTTTTCGAAATTATAAGGGATATCTCCTAGCCTAGAGTACTTCGGGGACAATATGAAATAATTCTTACTTTTTTCGATCGTAAACGGTCAAGAATATTAAGCGTTGTACGGACGCGAACAAACATACAAAATTATTGGTTTAACTATTATTTATCATTGGCATTAAAAGTAGTTATAGACGTTGTATTGGACAAAAAAGTTAAGTACTTAAATAATTTTAAACATAGAACCGCGCAGCCAACCTCATTACTCTTTTATACGTAAGCCCAGTTGTTTAATATAATAATATTTTTTTGAAGGCACACTGCCCTCTATTAATTGAGAGTTTTTGAAAAGAAACGACTAATTTTATGTAGACTACATAACCACATAGTTATTTTAGAACATACTGCTATGTGATAACTGAACGTTTTTTAAAAGAGTACTAGTTTTATGCAAAGAACATAATCATAATATATCAATGTCACTGCGTAACAACAAGAGCTTGGCAAAACTACGCAAATATGCAAAAGCAATTGCTTCATATATGTATTATTTAAATGTTTTGCTAGGATATAATACGAATACACGCATGCTACAGCGTGACTCGGTAATATATGCCCTCTCTTTCAACCCCGCTCCGTCCCTCTTCCCACTGCGACAGTGACACTGCGTCGCAGTGACTCTTAGATTCGACACTTAGACTGCGTTTAACTAAATTTGGGAAAATAACGTTTTGGGAAAACATTTTGAGTCGCAACCCAAGATCTGTTTTTTTTCGGTCGCTCAAAAGTATTTACGCAAAATGCAGATGCAATCGCTTCAAGTTCAAAAGTGTTCCCTAAAAACCTACGCACTTCAATTTATATCGTAATACATAATAACGTAATGCTATGATTTTCTACTGTGAAGTAATGTTATGAAAATTCGGTTTTAGATCTTTTACCTTCGTCTCTAATATGTTGCACCTCTTGGTAGATCACTCTTTTGATATTTACCATTCAGACATAATAGAGAATCAAACATATATTTCTACTTTTTAAAATTTTTTCACCATTCGTATCACTTCCTTTTATGAAACTAAGGACAATATTCAGATTTACATTTTCCTACTGGAAATATTTTGCAAATAAAGATAATAACGTAGTTATTTAATTTCCTTTAGCATATCAAACTGAATGAAAAACTCATTTGGATTTTCATTGATAAACGTTCTCCTGTAAAACATTATTCGTGATGAGAGTTTTAAAATGAGGCAAGTTTAGGCCGTCAATTTAATTTAGAAAACAAAATTTTTAATTTTTTTGGTTTGTTCCCGCGAAATCAATGGAGAATTAACTCTATCTAGAAATACCAGTCGGCCACCGCAATTGGAGACATTCGCGCTCACGTGCCTTTGTGAGGTTGGCTTTAGATGTCCTGATATAACAATATTTAGATGGCCATGGTCACCTGTGTTCGATCGTCGGAGTGCAGA